GGGAATTATGGGTGGGATCTCAGTGGTGATGGGCAGGGGAGCTATGGCATTGGAAGGCAAGTGCGAATATTCAGAAGAAGAGGCATTACCATCATAAAATCATTAACACTTCTTAGCTGCTCCCCAGAATGCAGAACTGGGGTGATAATGTCAGTTGTCCCTCTCTTCAGTGCTGCTGGTAAATGCCAGGCTGGTCATGAACATGTTTTATGTGTTTTAATCTGTGTTACAAAGATATCTGCAAATGTGACCCGAGGCTGGCATTTCAGGTTCAAAATCTCACCCAATCCTTCCATAGGTTTTCACACAAACACCTATAAACATGTTAGGATATGCTCTGAGGTTGATATCTAACTCTGAACTTGAGATTTCACATGCAACATATGTTTTCAGCGTAATTCTCCAAATGCCTACTTGACCTCTGCACCTACTTAAAAGAGAGGGAACAAAAATTGTGTATATTATCTTGAATAGTGTGATAAATTACATTTGATGTTCATTATTAGAACTTTATGGAAGAACCAAGCTTGAGCCCCACACCCATTTTAAAAGTCCAGGAATGAATAATGTCTTTCAAAGACTGTGCTTTCTTTGTTTTTATGCATTCATAATTGTCATTTTGCTTCCAGCAAAATCAGTTACTTTCTTTACTAGTTGACGTAATAACTCACGCTGGTAGTAATCCACTTGACACAAATCTCTTCATTTTTCTAAAATCTCCATCAGTGATTCAGGCTTATTGAAACAGCAAAATGCAGAATATTAATTTTCTGCTCTGCTTTGCTGGTAGTGAGGATGATGACAACAGAAAGCTTTTATATTTGGAAATGGTACCCACGAGAGCTGAACATGGCTGTGTACTGGATTTTGTAACTATAGACTGAGGATACTGGACTTCGAGTAAAAGAACAAAACAAAAACAAACTAGATCCAACAAGCCTCAATCTTGCCTGTCTCTGCTATAATCTAATGCCTTCTTTGATATAGAGACATGAAAACAACTGATTTTAAGATGCATGAAATAGGCCAGATATAAGTTGATTATAAAGAACAAGGAAGCGCCCAGACATCACAGTAATACGTACAACTTCCTGGGAAGACATAAAGTACTGTAATAAACAATGGTTTGTAGAACTGTCAATGTACTTCTTATCAGGACTCGGGGCATAGGCCTATGGCTAGGGATGGACAAATCTCCAAATTTTGTTCCTCATTTCTAAAATCTTAAATCCAGTTCTTCACATTTTTTGAAGAATTTGTGAACTTTTTAAAAAACTCCCCACGAAAAATTTTCAGCATTCAGTGCGGGGATTATATAGATTTGAATGATCCCAGCCTGAGCTGAGCATAAGTGGAAGGTTATGTGTCAGGTTCCACATGATTAAGTGGGTGGGCAGTGGTATGGCAAAATGTCATTGCACTGGAAGTGAGACATGTGGTGAGAACATCACATGTGTCTTTCACCATGTACCCAATTTAGTCTGAACCCATGAACTTCAAAGGTAGGCCATTGGTTCAACAGGTGACAAAGTAAGTTGGTCGCACTGAATACCTTATGCGATATTCCTGCACTACATTTTCCACTTTGTTTTCTTCTTGTAGTGATATAGCTGGTCCACAGGGAGGCAATAGAGATAAGGAGATAATTCCTTAATTTATTTTAAAGGGAAGTATTTGATTTAACTTTCCAGACACCAAAAGTGCCAGAAGTTGAATAATTAAGCCTTCATTTTTGTTGAACTCCTTAGGTTTTGAGAAGGGAAACAATGTCAAGACAGTTTTGTAAACAGAAATGTATTTAATATCGTGAAATATAATATTAATATATTAACAAGTACAAATTATGAATTTATATTTTTAAAACTTTACAATGTTCTATGTTCAATAGCTACATTTTATTATAATCAGATTTATTAATGTTGCTTTCCTTGCTGCATTAATTTTTCAATTGTTTAAAGAACTGTGAAATCATAGTAGGATCATAGAAACGTAGCATTGTAGAGTTGGAAGGGACCCCAAGGGTCATCTAGTTCAACCCCCTGCAATGTAGGAACCTCAGATATCCAAGACAGATGGCCATCCAACCTCTGCTTAAAAACCACCAAAGGAGGAGTCCACTGTCAAACAGCTCTTACTGTCAAAAAGTTATTCCTGATGTTTATTCGGAATTTCCTTTCTTGTTGCTATCTGTGGTGGGAGCTTTCTTTCTGATATTCACTACTTTTGTTTGTTCAATGTGCTGCATAATGATTCTTGCACAGTACTGCAGAAGGGAATAGCAAACAGCAGGTGCAGAGAGGCAGCTTTGATCAGGCTGTGGCACGAATAAAGAGGCAGGAATAAACTTCACTTGCCCAACCCTGCACTCAAGAGGTTGCTATTTATACTACAGCAACAAAAACCTTGCATGTTAAGTGCATCCATGCAATTCAAGTCATATCTAGGTTGACCCTTACAGAGAGCAGCTTTGAAAACAGTGACCATGTGAAGGGCCTTAATTCAGTGACAGAAGAAAGAGCAGGACCAGATTAACATATGTACAGTATGTTCTCATGGATATCAACTCACAATGTTCACAGTGCAGACTTCCTAGAAATCAACAGATTGGTGATGACAAGAATGATAAGAGACTGGAAAAGGCTTTGTATCCCAAAATCTTGTTTTTAGCATTTATTGAAATGCTGTTTGAAACCTTAATAAATTTTTATTAATAAATGTGTATCCTGATTTTCAGAATGTTTTCCCTAAGTTAGTGAACACTTAAGCTAAAAATAAGCACATAACATACCAAACTTTCCAATAAAACACAGAAAAAAACAAAAGAAAATACTGATAAGTGAATGCTAAAGTAAAGGTACCCCTGCCCGTACGGGCCAGTCTTGACAGACTCTGGGGTTGTGCGCCCATCTCACTCAAGAGGCCGGGGGCCAGCGCTGTCCAGAGACACTTCCGGGTCACGTGGCCAGCGTGACAAAGCTGCATCTGGCGAGCCAGCGCAGCACATGGAAACGGTGTTTACCTTCCCGCCAGTAAGCGGTCCCTATTTATCTACTTGCACCCGGGGGTGCTTTCGAACTGCTAGGTTGGCAGGCGCTGGGACTGAGCAGCGGGAGCGCACCCCGCCGCGGGGATTCGAACCGCCAACCTTTCGATCGGCAAGCCCTAGGCGCTGAGGCTTTTACCCACAGCGCCCCCCGCGCCCCCCAAGTGAATGCTAGAAACCAACAAATAATAAAACAAGTAGACACTCAGATTGCTATAGCCAACACCAACAAAATAAAACAGACTTGGAAACTAAGTCTTCCTTTGAGATATAGCCTGCAAAAAACAGAAGTCTCCAAGATATTTTCAGAAAGCCTTCAGTGTTGTGATCCTACACAGCCTGGTTGGCAATGAATTATCAGTGTCCTCAATATAATGAGAACACAATGTTCATCAAATTGTGCTTTTGAGAAATTCCACATATATATCAGATTGTCCTAAAAGACTTAAGGCCAGAGTAAATGCCAGTCACACATAATTGCTCTTATAAGAAGCAATTCCTTAAATAAATGAACAGTCATTTGCTCGGATGATAATCATGAATTGGCTTACAACAAAGGTAGCAGCAAATACAGACACACGCAAAGAGCAAGAGCGAGAGAGTGTATAACCAGCTTCAGGAATGTGCCTAAAGCTGGAGCAAGCGGAAGCATGTCTGTACCAATGCCAATCAAAGGAAGAGAGAGAGAAATAATAATTCCAAATGTTTCTTCCTCTCTAGGAGAGGAGGGTAAATGACATCATATAGAGCCCTCCCTACCAATTGTACTTCAATGGTCTGAGTATCTGCCTATTAGCAATATAGCTCTGTGGACTAGGCCCCTTCTCATGTTAACTAGCAATAATATGCGTTTGTTAGGTTTGGCTGCTAATGTCCCACAAACTGAAACGAAGTCATAGAAGGCTTTGTAGGGCATGATAACCAGTTCTTTGAATCATGCTTGGAAACACCGACTGGAAGAAAGTGGTGTTGTTCTAACAAGGAGTTTCTGTTCTCCCTTTGACCAGCTCTCTGTTCCCAAGTACAGGGACTGACTCATCCCCCTTCACCGAACTACAGCTAAATACCACTTTGCAAACTGTTTTTGAAATTGTCAGAAACCCTAAGTCAAAAGTTCCGCAGGGCATGCACAGCTATTGTGGTTAGGCAAGCCAAGCTGTACTACAGAAAAAAATGTTAGTCATCCTAGAATAAGTGTGGTTCTGCATTCACAGAATGATTGTATGTCTTGCAATTCCTGATTGGCTGGAATCAAAGTTGACGCCTTCCTCGTCACTTCAGCTCTTAGCCCGGCACAAGCAGGAAGTTTAAGCAGGGAGTTCACTTCCTGTCTGCTGGACTCACAAGCTTGAGGAGGCTACATCTATAGAATGTTTGCTCAATTATAGATTCTTTTTTAAGCGGAAAAAGATCCTGTTTGAAAGATGCTGTTAGTTATGTCTGAAAGTGGAAATTGAGCAGAAATGGCTGTATAAAGACTAGACTGATGTTTTCAAATACAGTGCACTTTCAAAACTGACATTGCATACAGTCCTCAGGCAGAAACCACAGCAACATGACTAATCAAAACATTTGAAGAATGTAATAGTCAACCTTTAACACACTTCTCATTGCAGCACATTGCACAAGCTGGTGAATGGTAAACAGTGTGCTTTACAGCTGACGTAGTTGCACTTGTGATTACTGGGATCCAAGACTACAGACAGTGACATGATGGAAAAGCCACAAAGTTGATCCTATGTTCAGACATGTTCTAGGATTGCAGGAGCCAAACTGAAAGAGAACTGCTGGGATCTTAATATGAAGTTTCACCCAACCCCCTTTTTTAAATGAAAAAGATTTAAAGCAGGATTTGCTTTTCTGGATAAAAGTCTTTTTCAAGAAGATGTCTGAAAAGCCATCTGGACTGAATAAGACATTACCGGTATACTGTGTAACCCTTTCAGTGGACGTATCAAGTAAGTAGCTAATCCTTTTGACTGTAACAAGAATAATCTGAAACAGGAAATGATTTTTTTATGTGAAAAAGCACAACAGATTGAAACATTTGTTTCTTTAAGAAAATGAATTATATGGTGAATAATTTAAGGATAAGATGGAAAAGGTGAATGTTCTGCATTCTGTGCTAGGTAGGAATAAAGCAGAAGTACAGAAAAACAACATTGCTAAGCATTTGATCACAAGTATAATAAATGTGTTTTGTTCTTCTTACACTTGGAAAACTGTGTCATTCCAAGCCATGTTGCTAAGATCTATGGGGTCATTTAGGGTACCTCTACCATGCTCAGATTTCTGAATCCTGGAATGGTTTGATACACAGAAGCATCAGTCATGCAGTGTTTTGAAATATGACTAATGAAAATGTTTATGTTAAAATCTAAAAATGGCACAAATTTAATTGGGAAAGTGTGTGAGGCAGGAACTGTTTTTGTGATAATTTGGGGCACATAAATAAAACTAACATCCAAAGGATTAAAATAAAAATATTTTGTATTGTTGCCATTTTAATAATTTATCCCAATTTGTTCTACTTATTAAAACAACTGTATATCTTTTGAATAATGGCAGATTCAATTCTTTGTGCTAGGTTTAGGTAGTCAGGTTTGTGTCTTGCCAGGTTTAGTATTTAAAGTTAAGTTAATATTTACTGGTGTTCTGTCCTGGAACCTGAAACAGGAGCTGATGGCATTACAATCAGCTCCCCCCACCCTGATCATTAAAGAAAACCCAGAATAGCTGAATGGAGACTGAATGTGCTCTGTAGCCATGGAATGCTGACCACTGATGTGGGCAGGGCAGGTGATGGAAACTGGGTGGGAATGGAATGAACTATCCTGGAGGATGGCATAACTGACTGGAATACTAAACAGAACACTCCACACAGCAATGTCAATTTCAGTCTCTCTCTCTTTTCAATTGTTCCAATCTTGTTTGCGCTCCTGTTTGTGGAAAAGATACATATGTGTTATTGGTGTTTTTTTAAAAAAGAAGTCCACATGAACAATCAGATGCATCTTTGTGTTCATGTCTCCTAATATACACATTTTTGTATGTTGTCCAGTATGTGGGATTTTTGCAAAACATTTAATGGAGTGTATTTTGCACATGATTTTCACTAATATACACTTTTGTGTGCATATGTGGCACAACATTTGAAGAAGTACAAATTTCTGAGAACTGTGTTTCATATTGTTTTGGGAAGCATGAATGTGGTAGGTTCAAAATAAAATGCAAAGTGAACTAATTTCCTCTGCCATCCCTAATCTCGGCTTTCTCTGACATACTTCACGTCATATACAATATTTTACAATCCACATATCTTCCCAATTTCCATTCAGTGGTAATTAAAATATAACTTATTGTTGTTAAAGATCAGCATTATTTTACACTTATAATGATATTGACACATCACATGTCAGTCAGAGTAACTAAAGACTTCCTAAATGATGTCTGCCTAGGACAGTGACATGTGACTGCCTGGTCCTGTGTGAGGTGGAAGAACTGCCATTGTCTTCAGGTTCTCTGCATACTTCCATTTTCCTGGTGGACTACAGGAAGGATCTGCCACACAGTCACCACTATTTAAATAAACTATAATCTTATGTTAATTATATTATTAACTTCTTTTGTGACTAATGGCCTCACTAAAAATGTCATGCAACTCTACAAAAAGAGCCACTGTGATGACCCAGTGTGCCTGAATGTGGCGTTTTTTCATAGCAAATCACAGAGAATAATTATATACAGAATGTTCTGAGTAGATGGTTCCTACTTAATGGTGGATCTCAGAACCACAGATTACAGGTTTTAAAACTAATGAGCTAAATCCTAACACTAGAATGACAGTTCAATTTATATCTTAGAACATGATCAGCAGATTATGCCCCATTAATTTAACAGAAACTATATTTCATATAATGCATGTTCAGAACTGCAGCTTTGAAGGTCATAACACAATGTTTACTGATTATTTACTGATTATATTTTTTATAATGCATGTCATGATCAAAGGTCTTCCTAAGGCAGTTCACAATAAACACCAAGAAAAAAAATTAAAGGGTGCTCTATTTTATGCAGATTTAACCAAACACAATTAAGAATGTTAACTAACCTCTAACCTGTTTACCCCTCATTCCTAAACACATTAACCCCAGTTGAGGGGATCCAATGTACCCAACCATATATGAATAAGGTTTGCCCATTCTCTTTCATGCTGAGGGAAATTCTCTGAAATATTAAAAATGATGGTGTGTATACATTCACCAATAGTGAAAACAAACAACAATTTATGTATATAGTCCCTGTTAAAATATGTCTCACATGGTGGGTCTATCTGCAGAAAGCTGTTTGTCTCAAGGCTGTGGTTGCCTCATGTGTAGGAATGAATGAAACAGCCTATTTCTGTCCTGTGTCAGTTTCTCCTACATGCAAAAATGAGTCCAGGACACTCTGTTCATGTGCAAACTTTTAAATAAAAGAGTGAACACTGAACGGTCCTACTAAAAAAACAAACAAATTAAAACCCAGGTACTTATGAGGTAGTCCTTGGACTGACTTCTTTGTACTGTACTGCAACTGTACTCTCCAGAAGCACATATTTCCCCCATACAATACCCCGGGAAGGGACTACACATTATGGCATATGGTTGCTTCCTGGGAGCATCTTAAAATACTTTAAAAAAAAATGCACATAGGCATGTCATAATGTCAATGGCTCAGGCTATTGACATGATAACCCCTGAGCCTACCTAGTGGCAGTGAATGAAGCAAAGAAGGCTTACTTTACTGCCTCCATTGCATCATGTAGTCTGGCATGATTATATATTTTGTGGTTTTATATTTTGATTTTCTTCTGTGAACCGTCCTGAGACCTCTGGGTATAGGGCGGTATATAAATTCAATTAATAATAATATTAATAATAATATACAAAGAAACGAGGTGTCAGAGAACTGCCTTCTACATTTTATTATTATTATTATTTTGTTTTGCCTTCTACATAGTGTAGTTGTGTTGTCCCCATGGCTCTGCTGGTGTGTAAATGACAGAGACTAATGCTCAGATTTACATTCCAATTTGCCCATGAGTCCACGAGGCTGAAATGGTTAGGTTCTCTCCTAAATGTGGAGCAAACTGGAAGCCTCTGAAATCCTTACCAATGAGTGGAACTGCAGTCACTGGCAGAGGAAGAGGAATGGGGGGGGGAGCGCCCCGTCCCTGGCAGCGCAATCCCAGTAGAGTGCCATCGCAGCTGCCTGCGCTGGGTGCCCCGCCCCTGCAGGCAGCATGCCCTGCCCCCATGATGCACACCAGCCCCGCCCCGCCTGCTCTTCGCCCCCCCCCCCCCCAGTGCTGGAGCATGAAGCTCTGCCACTGACTGCAGTCATACACATATGGATTCTCTGCTTCCATCAACCTTTATGCTAAAGAGAGAAGGACCATAACTAGCACATGTACTCACTGGAGAATTGTTCATTTTAACTAAAAATTTTGAACTGCTTGGGAGCTCCCCTGGAACTGCTTGAGAAATATACATACCTTGTAAATTAACGGTTTGGCCATATGTTTACTACATTACTTCATAAAGAGTGCCATTTCCATTTCCCATTTTTGGAGTGATGCAGCAAGCTCCAAAGGCCTTTTAAAAAAAAAAACCTCATTAGGACAGCTTCTCCCTCCTTTTAATTTGTGCCTTTGGCATACATTGGTACCTCGGGCCAGAAATAGTACCTTGAGCCTTACCAACTGAAACTCATCCAACACAACTTTGCTTCAGGATGAGAACAGAAATTGCACGACGGCGGCGCGGCAGCAACGGGAGGCCCCATTAGCTAAAGTGGTACCTCAGGTTAAGAACAGTTTCAGGTTAAGAATGGACCTCCAGAATGAATTAAGTTCTTAACCCGAGGTACCACTGTACATTGGTTGGGAAGGGCTGATGCAAAAGAGGGCAGGACTCCTGCACCTTTAATAGTTGTACTGAAGAGATAATTGTATGACAAGCTACACCTGCTAAAATTCCCCTCTTACATTCAAGGTGCAAGAGCCCTGTCCTTGTTTGTTTGTTTTTTAGTTAATATTTACATATACTTTGTATATAACTGAACTTACACTCAATTACTTAATATTATGTAGAATCAGTGAGCTAGTCAGAAATGTAGGTGTCCCTAAGAAATACTTCATTTGTGGTCCGAAACACTGGAGGTGTCACCCACCTCAACCCCCCCAGTGTAGCATCAGACAGATAAGGCTTAGACTGGAGACACATAGACTCAAATGGCTGCTCAACCATTAATTAAATTAAATAACATAAATTAAATTAATTAAACTCACTTGGCCGCTCATTGTCCCTTGGTATAAATTGTTTTGTAGGATTGTGGTGGGGAGAGTTGAATCCTGAGCACATTGGGAGAAGGAATATAGGAAATATTATTAAATGCTGGGCGGTAAAATTAGCACTCCTTATATTGCCCTTCTAATGTGATGTCTTTGCTGCCCACATGCTCACATAGATTGGCTCTTCAAGTGGAGAAAACACTACAGGACCACCTTGACTAAGGATAATTGTTGGACTCCCAACTTCCAGCATCTTTGGATGGGGCTGATAGGAGTTTAGAGCCCAACAGCATCTGGAGGGTCACCCTATCTCTGACTTAGGCTGTGTACACCCCCCCCATACATTTAAAGCACTTTTCCTTTTCCTACAAATAACCCTGGAGATTGTTGTTCACCCTCCTAGAGTGACAATTCCCAGCACCCTTAACAGTTCCCACAAGTCTTTGGTGGTGGGCGATGAGCTTTAAATAGACAGTGTCTGTGCAGCATATGCAGTTGGAGAACAACCTGCTGACCCAACTCGCCAGGTGCACTCACTGCCCCAGATGGACGGAGTATAAATAATATTTTATTTTTTTTTTTTTTTGTAAAAAAACATATAATGAAGGCAACCGCATTTCCCTTCTGAAGGCCCCCTCCCCGGCCCTTGTAGGTGGACCTGCAGTTCTTATAATCCCGGCCCATTCCCCAGGCTTGTTGGGCCTGAGGGGAGCCACCCCGTTGTCCGAGCTACAGCTAGGAGGACCCTCCGCTCACCCAAGAAACTTGGTTGTCGTTAACAGAATCGCCCCCTCACATCCCGCTTTAAAGCCACAGGAGCCAGTGGGCGGCGGGTCCCGCAAGGTAATGGCGACTCGTGGGAAGAAGAAAGGTTTTGATTTCTGTTCCTCTCGTCCAGTCCCTCGTTCGCCTGCTGCTGCGACTCAAGTTCGCTCCTCTTTGGACAGGAGAAACTGGGCCGAGGGGGGAGACAGGTGAAGTAAGTAATATGAGAGGAGGTCGCTTCTTCCTCGTTTTTAACGAGGGAGCGAGGAGAATAAAAGTTCGCCATTGCGCCCTGAGGAACGCGATAGGGCGCTTCCTGTTGCTGCTGCTGCTTCCAATTCAACCCATCCCGACGCTTCCCCAACGTTACGGAGGGGCGAGGAAGCTGAGGGAAAACCAGTCCGAGAAGTAACCGGCGGCGGGTAAGAAAAGAGCGTAGGAAACGCCGGCGCGAGCTTGGCCTCCGCAGCGCCCCCTCTGCCGGCCCTCGGTATCTCCCGGAGTCTGCCCGAGCGTGACTCCGAGGCTGACGGGCTCCTCCCCCTCCCATTCCTCCTCCTCCCCCTCCTCCCGTGTCTGTGGCGCTCGCTTCCCCGTCACCCTCCCCCTCCCGCTCTTGTGCCGGGAGGATCAAGATGGACGGGGTGCGTCGCTGCCTGGCGATGGACTGAGGGAGGTGAGCGAAGGACGCCGGGAAGCTGAGGCGGCCACAGCGGCGTCTGAGGAGAAAGTCTGCGGCCCCGCGGAGAGCGAGCGAGTCACTCACTCGGGCAGCGGGGAGGAGGAAACAAGAGCGCGGCGGGGCCTCGCGGCGGCCTTTCCTAAGCCGCCTGACCGGGTCACCCTGCGAGGCCTGCGGCTGCCAGACAACGCGAGCGCCGCGGCCCGGCCCGGGTAAGAAGAGGAGGCGGGGAGAGCTTGGGGCTCCGAGGCAGGCGGTTCCGGGACGCTGGCGGGTCGGGCTGGGCTTCGGGGTCCGTGTGGGGAAGGCGGCTGGAGCGGGGAGGCTGGAGAGAGGCCACGCCGAGTCCAGGCGCGGCGGGGCTTGGTAGGCCTGGGGAAACGGAGGGTTTGGGGACGGGAGGGTAGCGAGCGGGGTCGCCTGTCCGGGCTACCGCGAAGAGATCTGGTTGGGGCCTGTGGGCCTAGTAGGAGGCGAGGCGAGCAGGTGCTTCTTCCTCGGGGCTCGCCTGAGCCCTGGGCTGCGGGCCCTGTGGAGGGGAAGTGATCGGCTTCCCCTCGGTGCCTGAGCTTGTGGCCTTACGTTGTTTTGGGTTCTCCTTTGTGACTAGGGGCTGTAATGCTAACCGTGTCTACTCGGGAGGGAATGCTATTGAGCTCAGCGGGGCTTACTCTCGGAGAATTGCGGGTGGGGTTGGATTGCAAGCCGGATCTGTAAAAGTCAGTGTAACATCCCTGGCTGTATTGTCTGGCGTTGGCGTTATTCAATCTCGTCGTAGAAGGTCGGCAAATAATTATATCACGAACGTGTGAAGGTACCTCATGGTCAGGCTGCCGGTCTGTGTAGCCCAGTAGTTATCTACTCTGACCGGCAGCGGTTCTCCAAAGTCTTGGGTAACTTCCAGCCCTGTTACCTAAGATCCTTTTAGCTAGATATACTGCGGACTGAACCCTTCTGTGTGGAAAGCATGTGCTTTGCCACAAAAGTTTGGCCCCTTCCCCCACATTTATTACTTTGTGGGAGAGTGTGCCTGACTGTGTGTTTGACTTTTATTTATTTAAGCTAAGTGTGCCTTTCCCTGTGCATGTAGGCAGCCTTTGAAGGATTTAACCTTTGTGATATATGTATTTAATACAGGACAAAGTTTCTTGTTGTTGTTGTTACCTGGGGTTTTTCAGCCTGCAGGAATCATTCTATTGTTTTTAGTTTGGTCTCTCATGCAGACCAAGTTGAAAGTAAGTTTGACTAATTTCTATGTAACTTTGTTTATAACTGGGTAGTATTTTACATCATAAGGCTGTTTTTTTTCCTGGAATGTTCCCCTCCCCATGTTGTTAAAAGGTAACATTATTAATTGCTAACACGTCACAAGCAAACACACAGGCAGACTTTGCCCAACAATATATTTTTTAAAGGCACAATTCTGGAGAGAGTCTTCCTCTCCCTAATACTTCAGTACTGAAGAAACTTTGTACAGTTAACTTTTTCCATGTTTGTAATATAATTCATTTATGGAAGGATAAAACCAAACGTGTGAAAGGGCATATTTACTTCAAACTGCTTTTGTGTGTGGTGGTTATATTGACCTAGGAACAGCCTCAGGTTTACAAAAATAGGTAATTACTTGTATGTTAGAGTAAGAAGCTTTAATATGCCAATAAAGATAGCATTTAGCTTCTGAAGTACAAGGGAATTATGAGAATTTTTGATCTGTTTTCAGCTTATCATTAGTTTTTATACTGGTTTTCTATAACAAATTATACCCAAAGTGGCTTAATACATAAGAAAGAGTGATGTGTATCAGATTTTTTAAAAAACCTAGTAATACAACGTATCAGCAGTACATTAAGATAGTAATCCATATCAGTAGCCTATCAAATCACTGAGACCAATTAATTTTTTAAAAAGAAACTTTAAAATAATTTTTTAAAAACAACATTGACATAAAGTTTAACATCAGTCTCTAAAAACTATAAAAAATTGAATGACAGCAAGAACAGAACTTTAGGAACATATAAATAAGTAAGCAATGCCCAGAAGCAGTGGGAATGGCATACATAGCTTAGTGCATATATAGAAAGATATAATTTGATGTAAATCAAGTCAATAAGGTATAGCATTCAAAATACATTCCCTGATCTCTCCATTGCATTGGAAGGCCATGCCAAAAAGTTTCAAAATAGTTAACAGTAAACCAGGTTACCAGAGTATGCACTTTTGTGGCCAAGCTATCCCTTTCCAGGAGCAGTTGTAGCTGGTGAGGCAGCCAAAGGTGACCAAAAGTACTCTGGGCCACCATTGCCATTTGGACCTTTGGTGACAAGATGGACCTGGGACTACTCCCAGACTACAAACTTGCTCCTTCAAGGGAGTGCAGTCCTATCTAGAGCAGGCTGTCTGCCTCATTCCCCAACATGAGAACCAACAACCCAAAGGACCTTCATCTTTCCAGGATTCAGTCACAATTTATTGACTGTAATCTAGTTCATTACAGTGGTCCAGCGCCTGCACACCCTCAGCTGACTTAGATGACAGAAGTAATAGAAGTGGTTGTCATGCCATCACCATCCCAAAGGTACCCAACTCCAGATCTCTTAATGACTTCTCTAAATGGCTTCATATAGATATAAATTGATTTCAGCAAGGCATTTGACAAGGTGCCCCATGATATTCTTGTAAAGAAGCTGGTAAAATGCGGTCTTGACTATGCTACCACTCAGTGGATTTGTAACTGGCTGACTGACCGAACCCAAAGGGTGCTCATCAATGGTTCCTCTTCATCCTGGAGAAGAGTGACTAGTGGGGTGCCACAGGGTTCTGTCTTGGGCCCGGTCTTATTCAACATTTTTATCAACGACTTGGATGATGGACTCAAGGGCATCCTGATCAAATTTGCAGATGACACCAAACTGGGAGGGGTGGCTAACACCCCAGAGGACAGGATCACACTTCAAAACGACCTTGACAGATTAGAGAACTGGGCCAAAACAAACAAGATGAACTTTAACAGGGAGAAATGTAAAGAATTGCACTTGGGCAAACAAAATGAGAGGCACAAATACAAGATGGGTGACACCTGGCTTGAGAGCAGTACATGTGAAAAGGATCTAGGAGTCTTGGTTGACCACAAACTTGACATGAGCCAACAGTGTGACGCGGCAGCTAAAAAAGCCAATGCAATTCTGGGCTGCATCAATAGGAGTATAGCATCTAGATCAAGGGAAGTAATAGTGCCACTGTATTCTGCTCTGGTCAGACCTCACCTGGAGTACTGTGTCCAGTTCTGGGCACCACAGTAGAAGGACACTGACAAACTGGAACGTGTCCAGAGGAGGCCAACCAAAATGGTCAGAGGTCTGGAAACGATGCCTTATGAGGAACGGCTGAGGGAGCTGGGCATGTTTAGCCTGGAGAAGAGGAGGTTAAGGGGTGATATGATAGCCATGTTCAAATATATAAAAGGATGTCATATAGAGGAGGGAGAAAGGTTGTTTTCTGCTGTTCCAGAGAAGCGGACACGGAGCAATGGATCCAAACTACAAGAAAGAAGATTCCACCTAAACATTAGGAAGAACTTCCTGACAGTAAGAGCTGTTCGACAGTGGAATTTGCTGCCAAGGAGTGTGGTGGAGTCTCCTTCTTTGGAGGTCTTTAAGCAGAGGCTTGACAACCATATGTCAGGAGTTCTCTGATGGTGTTTCCTGCTTGGCAGGGGGTTGGACTCGATGGCCCTTGTGGTCTATTCCAACTCTATGATTCTATGATTCTAAATAACTTGGGGGACAAGATGGATCCCTGTGAAGAGCAAAAGACTCAATGCAGCCCTTTGAAATTTATCCTGCAGGTAGAAGCAGAGCTACCATAACACCACGCCTGTAGAGTTGATCCAGCATAACCCCCTACCCTGCAGCATTGGTCCAGCAAGATACCATAGTCAGTGGTATCAAAAGCTGATTAAAAGTCCAAGAGAACCAACAGGGTCATAATATTCCTGTCTCCGTCATAAAGCTGCTCATTCATCAGGTTAACCAAGCCTGTTTTGGTTTCAAAGCCTGACCTGAAGCCAGACTGAAATTGGTCTAAATAATTTGATTCTTCTAAGAACACCTAAAGGTGGCCACTCCAGCACCTTGCCCAAGAAAGGGGGCATTAGCAACAAGGCATCCAGTCCCAAAGTAATGGGATACTATGTGGTGGAGATACCACCATTTTCTAATCACTGCTGCTTTCTGTCTGCCAGTGAATAAGGTGGGAGGAGTGGCTATTACTTTTACTTAATGAGGTTGGGTTTTTAAAAATTTCCCACCCATGGTGGGGGTGGAAATAACACTAGTTCCTGGGCTGACATAGTTTTGCCACCATTCTTGGAGTATTTCATGAGAGTGAGATTTCATAGGATTCTGTGGGTCAGGGTTTTGACTGACATACCCACAGAATGTCTCCCTTTGTCCTTCACTGTGGATGATTGTTTCTGCCTGTGGAATAGCAGTGGCAGTAGACATCATTTCTCTGCTCACTGAGAAGGTCTGGAGGATCTGGACAGCTTTCTTGGGAGTTTAGGGTATGTTCTGTTAGAAAGATGCAGCTCTGAGCTCAGTGAAACTTTTAAGTAAATATGAATTGGCTTGGGCTGAAGCTGTGGGTAAGGTAAAGGTAAAGGTACCCCTGCCCGTATGGGCCAGTCTTGACAGACTCTAGGGTTGTGCGCCCATCTCACTTAAGAGGCCGAGGGCCAGCGCTGTCCAGAGATACTTCCGGGTCACATGGCCAGCGTGACAAAGCTGCATCTGGCGAGCCAGCGCAGCACACGGAAACGCCGTTTACCTTCCCGCCAGTA